TTGGGCAATGTAATTGACCAATTTGACAAAAGTGTTCATTCAAAATTGAAAATTACAAAATTTAAAATTGAACATTTTTCGATATCGAATATAAAAATAAATGTCAATTTTTCCGATATTTTAACACCAAAATTTGATCGGAAAAAATTTGATAGTTTTGTTAAAATTCAAAATGCAATGCTACCAAAAGAGATGCAATGAGTGAATTAGTAATAAAAAGTTGTGTCACTGGAAGTGTCACTTGCGTCAAAATGCCTTGGTTAAGGCCTGCGGGGTTATGTTTCCGTTTGTATGCAATGAAATTTTTCTATATTTTGTACATATTTTTTTTTGTCGAAACGTAGTGATAATGTAGATTTTAATTTACCAAGGGAAAAACTTCAAAATTCAATCATTATGTACGTTGTCGAGAAAGTTTCACAATACCGTAATTGTTCATATATCAAATTTCGTTATCAAATATACCTATGTACATTATTTCTATAATTGAATAGAATTAACTAAGGATTTATTTTTATATACACATACACTTACGTTATGTATATAGATAAATAATATTATTCAGAATATTAAGAATAAAATGAAAATGATTAATGATGAAAATTGAAGGCCACCAGCTTTAAGAATTTTTAAGATTTTAATAAAAAGATAGAAAAAGAATTGAATTTGATTTTCTATTGTTCACAATTTATGTATTTATAACGAAAACAAAAAAAACAAATAAATAAAAAAAAGAAGGGGGTTTCCTTAATGATTCCTTGTTGTTTTCTTACATTTCACTTTCAAGTTTTTTAGCATTTCTAGTGTGTGTACAGGAATTCTCGAATGTAAAGAAATCATTAAATTAAAAAGTTTTGTATAAAATTAAATATAAAATAAAAGGAGAAATAAATAATTAATCAAATTTATTATTTTTTATTATTCGGCTCTCTTATATTTTGAAATTAAATTGTCACAGAAAATATTTTTATTAAAAATTGCTTTTGTTCGAATGGGAATTATGTCATCTATGCCAATGTAAAAAGTGTACTCAAAAAAAAACAATATTAAATCAAACACACTATTCTTCATCTGTCTGTCATATTTCAATTGAAAATATTAAAGAGAAACTTTCATTTGTCATTTTTTATGTATATACGCACTCTCCATGGGAATATTTGACAGCTCAGATAAAAAATATAAAACTATAATATTTTAATACAAGCTTTAGCAAATAATGTCGTGTTGCTTAAAATAATTAATGTTTTTTTGAAAAAACTTTGCAATACAACTCAATTTTTGAGACGCAACATTCCATATTTTGTTTGTTTTCCAAAAATATTTACTTTTAACTTATTCTTTCGTATTCTTACGTAATTTACGCCATAATCTCTCCCGAATTTCAGCATCTTTGCAAATTGTTTTTAATTCAATGCCGTTTTTAGTACACAATTGTGTTTTTTAGTACACAATTTTATCGATTGGTTTAATATTATCCCAAAAGTTCCTCTATTGCTTTTTGAACATGAATGGATGCATTTGCTTCAATTCCGTTTTTCCTGTTACGTTCGTTTCTCGATTTAACTATGGTCGAAAATAGCACTACATCTCAATCTTTGCAATTAATTTAATACTTTGCTTCATCATATTATTATCCCTCTTTCATCTTCAATTCTCCTCTTCTAGTTTTGAAACTGCATGGGTTTAATACTAGACTTTTAATTGTTGACACTGGATGTTTCACGTTTTTCAATTAGTTTAATCTTGTGCAATTTACAATTTAATCACTTACACAATAGCCCAATGCAAGAACAGATGTAGTACAATGCGAGAACAGATTTAATAACCCTTCAGATTTTAAAACGGTAATGCAGAATATACAGACGATGAAATATATTTTGACATTTTTAAGAATTTACATACACACCTCCGTTTTTTGAAATTCACAATAATTTTTTCCCGATCTTGATCTCTTTTTCATTCGTGAGTATTACGGACACCTTCAGAAAGGCAAATGTTAGCATTGGCTTCAAAATTTTACGAAACTATTATGCCAGTACAAAAAAAATCCGAACCCATAATTTCTGTTGTTAATTTTTTCATATTTGGTTTCTCCTCCTTTTCTTCTTTTCTACCTTGTCTAAGTCACTAACTATATATTTTGTTTGAATTTCTCTCTATCTCAAATATTTGATATACTTATTTTAAATATAAAATATATTTTAGCTCCACCCCCTAATTTTGTAGGTTCTTGTTATGTTTTCTTATCAAATGATAATGAAAAGAAAATAATAATAATAAGAAGAGAACAGACAACAATAATAGTGTTAAAAAAACAGAAGCAAAAACAAAATTAACACTGAAACCTGTGTGAATATAGGCGGGTGCGCTCTATCCTATAATATAATTTTGGTTTCTATGGTATTAATATTCTAGTTTTTTTTCACATTTTCATATACTTAAGTTTGTAGAATTATACATGTAGAATTTGTGTTATATATTCGAAGAAATTATAGCAGTAGTCACCTAAATACATACGCAAGAACGTATACATGACTAGTCGTACACAAATAGGTGCTACCATCTGTATATGATTAAACCGGTACGTCAATAGAACAATTCTGTATATAAATTTGCACGAATGTGTTTTATGTCATGTAAATATATATACGTATGTATATTCCTATATACACGGTTAAAAAAAATATAATTTTTTATAGAAAAAGTAAAAAATTAAAAAAATAGTATTAAAAAAACAACAACGATGACAGAGCAAAAAAAATGTGTTTCGCACATGTCCCGTACTTTTTTTTTGCTCTTTTTCTCTAATTATAAATTTTTGCTTGTTTTACTTTTTTATTTGGGGGTTTACCCCATATGACAAAATTCCTCTTCAAAGTGTGTTTGTATAATTTGTATTTTACATATAAAAAAAATTTATACAATAAAAGAAAAAAAACTGTTATATTCGTATTGTTCTTATTTTGTATAACACCGTTAACTTTTTGTTGTTTACTTTACAGTTTTTTTTACCATCCCGAACTGTAGTCTATGTAAATAATGAATCCGTTATTTTTTTCCTTTTTATTTCTGATATAAAATATACACCACCAGTTGAATGTGAACACAGAAAAAAAATGTTCTTATTGGAAAATAAAAAATTAAAAAAACCATAGAAAAAAAAACAAACGGAGTTTGCGCTCAATACAAAATTTACTGTTATATCTGAATTTTAATGTATTTGTAATTTTGCTTAAGAATGTGTTGATTGCTTTATTTGTGTTTGTAGCAGAAGCACGTGTTCATTATACATGTGTGCTGTCAATTGTGTCAATTCTTATTTTGAATGTTTTGAAGTATGCATGTAAATGTTCCTATTGTTTTTTGTAGTCGTTTTTTCATTCCAATAAGCTTGGAAGTATTTTTTTGAGTGTGTGAGTTACACATACTCATTTATAGTATTTTTTCATAAATATTGTGCAAAATTTTTAAGTAAATGTATGAGTGGAAATGAGCACATGTAATAAATACAAAACATGTAAAATTAAGTTTTCGATACTTTGTTAATTTTTAATTAAATTAAAAATTTAATTGAGATAATTTATAATAATAAAGTGTGTAATTTACATAATGTATGTATGTATGCAACTACATACATATATTCATGTTACAATGATAATAACGATCAAGAGTATAAATATTATAATTATTTTGGGAGTGTAAATAAAATAATTGATTTGATCTTTTGTAAAATTAAAGTAGGTGTTGATACTTCATTAATTTTGGAAAATAATTAAATGCTTAAGTTATTTCAATAATGGCAAATAGATAATTAATTTCATTATTTAAACGATTATTAATATTAATAATTGGAAAATAACTTGATTAATTAATTTCTTATTTCTTACCATGGCAATTGTTCCTATTTTACAGCTTAATGTACGTATAATATGACGTAAGTATAGGCTTGAATCTGAAAAGAATTGTCATGTGGAAAACTTAATCTTCATTTGATATTACAAATGACTCTGTACAACTTCAATAAGATCAAGTTATTACAATTTATTAAGATCTAGTAAAAAAATTATAAGCACATTTTAGTTGATCCTTCTTAATATTAATTTTTCCATGTGCCATATGTGATGTACAATTTTCAAAGTTACTGAAACGTATCTCACGTTACCAATGTTCGAATGTGTTTACATAGATAGAAAGCAATTAAATACACATAATCAATTAAACAAAAAGGCATATAACCACTCAAATCATGACATTAAAAGAATTAAGAGTAAATTTTACCAAGAATTTGATATAATCCAAAACTATATAGAGATAAAATCAATATTATTCGAATAATGAATTTAAAAAATTTGTTTTAAAAAATTCTTGCAATTTAATAAATAATATCTTATTTAGAAAATGTTATAAATATTTTATAATAACACAAAAATTGTAAATAGAAAAAATCGCAAATCTCACAAATTAAAATAAAAATTATATTACAATTGTGTTTGTAAAAGAAATTTCATTGTATGTCCTACAAGTCCAATACAATTAAAACAAACACTATCATACCTTTACTAACACACATTCAATATTTTTCATTCCAATTCCAATACAAATAAAGATTAATTAACAGTAAATGCAAGTAAACAAATCACTCACACATATATAATATTTTTATTGAAACTTCTATTACGATTTACGATTATGAATAATAATTTTTATTTAAATTGCAAAAAATTATATAAACAAATATAATATAATGCAAAAATAATATTATAATTAAATACAATTACAATTTATAATATGTATACGAATGTATATATACAAATATAATTTAAACATGTATTGGAAATTTTATAAAAGTAGTAATAAAATAAAAAAAAAACAACAATATTATTTCATTTTATTATTATTATTGTTATTATTATTACTTTACCGGCTATTTTTATACAATATATTATTTTAGTTTATTCGACGATAGTACGTCGACTATAGCGGTTGATTTGATTGTGTATTTAATAATTTTTTTTTGTGCTAAACGAAATTATAAAAAAAAAAATATTCCGATTTGTAAAAAAAAATTAATAATTGGTATATGTATAATTATTGTGTTGTTCTATTTCAAATAGAAAATAATTAATAGAGAATACAATAATCATAAATAAAATATATAAAATTCATAATATCGTAATATAAAATAATTAAATACACATAATAACGGTATTTACGAAACATATGATCAGATCGTATAACGATCATTCTCATATTACACACTTATATGAAATAAAAATAATAAACAAAAGAAAAATACTTAGTCGTTTAAAAGTTATAACTACATAAATACAATATTAAAAATAAGTGTTATAAATCAAGTAAGTAATAATTACATTAAAAGAATAGAGTATAATTTAATTGTATTCATATTAAACGAGTAAATATAACGATAAAAAAATAAATTATAAAATAGGAAATAAATAATTTTAATAGTATTCGCAGTTTAAAAGAAAATAATAAAGAAAATATATAAAAATATAAAATTATCATTTAATTTCCTAGTTACTTATTTCTTTGATATTTTGTTTTTGTTGTAAAATTATTTATTAAATACGATAAAAACAATTTTTATCGTATAATATACGTATATACAGTACAATTGTATATCACACTATATTATTGTGAATAAATAAATAAATATATTTAATATAAAATTTAACAATATATATATAGAAATAAATATAAAAATATATTGTATAAAAAATCAACAACATATGGGTGATTTTTATTTAAGATAAAAAGAATTTTAAAATTAAAAGAAGTGTGAAAATAAAAGAAGAAATGAATGAATATAAAAATTAAAAGCTTTTAAATTGTCACTTTAAATTATTATCAAAAGAATATTTATTATATTTTGTATAATATATATATATATATATATATATATATATATATTATATTTACAAATATATTTTTTTTTTGAAATTATTAAATTAAATTAGTTAAAGAATTTAAAGCGATTCAATTAAGTGATTTTCATAATTTTTTTTTTTTAGTTTTTTGCCTATTTTATTACTTTGCGCCTCTATAAAAATTTTGTGGGAAAATTTTTCAAAAAAATTTTCAAAAGTAAATAAAATTAAAAAATATAAGTGAATAACTAATTTGTTATTTAATAATATAAAGTAGGTATAAGAATATTGTGAAAATTGTGAAAAAAATCAAAGAGAAAAATTATGTGGAAATTTATAAAGAAAAAAAAATTTTTTAAGTAATAAATAAAAAATTAAAAATACAACACAATAGGAGCCACAATTTAATATTAAGAAAAAATAAAATACATACACACAGATAAATAAATAGTAAACAGGTTATAAACAAAAACAAAAATATTTTTTAGGAAATTGAAAAAAATTAAATTTTTTAAAAGAAATTATAAAAGAAAATTTTTCTATAATGAAATTATAGAAAATATTTTTATAATTATGTGAGTGGTGGTTCCTTATTTTACTAATTTGACGTTTTTTTGACGTTTTGAACCATCTTATTAAAGAAAATTTTAAAATTTAGAATGGCGTTTTTAAATCAAGAATAGCGCATTGATCCCTCTCAATGATTGTACCTCAATTTTCTTCCTAAACAAATAATAATAATTTTCCTTTTAAATAAAATATAAAAATATAATTTTTAATTTATTACTTAAGGAAATTGTTAACTAAATTTTATTGAAATGAATTTTTCAAAAAAAATTATTTTTGTTTTTTTTTTCAATTAAGATGTCGCCACCATAAAAAAAACCGTTTGATCTCATTTTTTTTTTTCGTTTGATCATTGACAATTTAATATTTTATAGGATTTAAAATTTGCGGTGTTATTAAAAATTTTGTTAGTTAGATGGTTAGTCACCTTGCTGTTAGATTGTAAAATATGACAAGCGTTAAAAAGCGTATGTATAATATTTATTACGCAGTGATTTTATTGCAAAATATTTTTTAAGAGAACCGCCGATATAAACAGCAACAATTAAGCTACCATGCTAAAGTTTTTGAATAAAATATGATTTTGCTGAATTTCGATTATGTTTATGCAGAAATTAGGGCATTTAACTAAAAGCATGTTATACTTTTCTGCTGTCTTCTTTATTCAGCAATTCAAATTGTAAGTATTGCTGAATCTATTATACTCAATAAGTCAAATTGACTTCGGGTGAAATTGAGGAATTCATAATAAACATTGCAAAATGTGTCAAATTGACGCAAGTTACGTCATTTATGAAATAATATTGTGTGTCATTTAAATCGCCAAATCAAATTGATTCGATTGTCTATAACTTGATTGAATGTCAGTTTATCTTAATCGAGAAAACAAAATATTTTTTAAAAGAATAAAGTTTCTAGTACGATTTTACATGTACTTATGCTATTAAGCAAAAATTCGTATTAAGTAATAAATTGTTCATCTCTCTTCATTATTTAGGTCAAACAGAGTACAATGACCTATAAAGAGTCTAATGATATTAATTTTTATTAATTTCTCAAGTATATTCTCTTATAAAATTAATATTTATTTAACTGTTCAATAAATAAATGTGACATCTAATGATTGAAAAAAACAAATTGTTAAAACAATAATATTATATTCGAATTTATACCTACATATACGTACACATATAGGCACGTAATTATAACAAATTTGTGCCTAATTTAGACAAAGCGTCTCTCTATTTATTTGGACGCTTTCTCATATTTATAGTTAAAATATTTGTAGTTTATGGTTTAATTAATTTTAAGTATGAACTACAATAGAATAAACTTTTAAATTAAAAATTCAAAATTCTAATTACTAAAAATGTAGCTCTTCTAAAAACAATAAAAAACAAAAAAGAAATCATTAATTAAAATAAAAATTCATTTTGAAAAAAGTTATGGCAAATTAAAAATAAGAAAATTTTATGGTAAATTTTTTTTTTTTCTTGAAATGACAAATTTTATTGTATATACCTAATTTAAGTTTCGTGCCATTTCATTAATTAATTTTAAAATGAAAATTAATTAAATTTTAAAATATTTAAAAGAGAAAATAATTGTCAGTTTAATTGCATATTATATACATAATATATAAATATATATATATATATTTTCATGTAATTAAATTTAATTACTAAATTAAATTATTAAAATTTTATTTGAATATATTTTTTAATTGCAATTAATTATTAAATATTTAATTTTGAGAATTTTAAATAAATTTATGGGTTGCTTGTATACATTCACGCTTATATGAAATTTTACAATGAGAATATTTTAATTTTAAAATTTAATTAATAGTTGTAGGATTGCATTGAAGGACTAATTAATTCAAATTAAAATTATATAGATGAAAATTATGCAAATAATTAATTTTATGAGTCATACAAGGAGGGAATTTTGTTTGGAAAGGAAAAATTTTTGTTGAATGTTGCAAAAATTCAATAAAAATTTATTTCATTATTTTAGAATCCAGATTCGAAAATGATTAAACCCACTTCTTTAATGAAAATTAAACTTTTAGTCTCAAATCGGATTAGAATATGTGTTCATTTTCAAAACTAAGAAAATTAATTACTTAATTATCGAAAATTTTTTTTAATCATAAATTTAAGCTCCAAACTTCCTTAACAGTTTTTTATATAAGCCGACGGAAATTTGCACAAAATATAAGCATATCTAAAGCAGCATATTTTTTGCAAGAGTTCAAGGAATTTCAAACCTGTATTTGAATATTGAAAGAATTTGTGGTATACACTAACTATACATTCATTAATACTTGGTATTAAATAAGTTATGTTTAGGGAATGTATAGTTATAATTCGAAATTGAGCATAAGATATCCAAGATTTTCGAAATTATAATTGATATTCGTAATTGCGAGTATAACTGAGTGTCAACAATTAAAATTTTTCAACAAAATTTCATTTCTTTTCAAATCAAAACTGTGCTTATTGAAAGAGATTACAAGTAAAATAATGTCAATTTTATATGATGTCCTTAACTTCAAAATGAATTATATTATAAGAGTATTTGACAGATTTATTTGCACCAAATTTGGAACTCTCTTTCATACATTAATCTTATTGTGTAAAATGCACTTAAACTTTTACATACATATAATATGTATATGTACTCATTAAGTTAAATAGTTAACGTGACATACATAAAAGTTAATGTCAAAATAATGTTAATATTGCAGTTAATCTTAATAGATCAAATGTCAATTATGTGATATTATAAATTGTTTCAAATATTATTTCCCGGTTTTAATTTAAAACAGTAATTTTATATCTTGTTTCAATTGTTTAATATTTCTGAATGTTTGCCTTTTTTTTTACTTAATATTTCTGAATGTTTGCCTTTTTTAATGAAATTGCAATAAAATTTAAAAAAAAAGTAAGTGTATAATTAAGTGGTTATGTACCTTAACACATAATTGTACATATAGTTTCTTTAAGTCGAGTGAAAATAATTTTTTGAAAAAAAAAAAATGTTAACTGCGATGATACCATATCAAATAAAAATATGAGAAACGTATAGATGACACTTTATTTTTTATCTCTACTTTTTTTTTCTTTTTGACTTTTCGCATTCATTTTCGCAAAAGAAGGAATTTTTTTTTTTAATCTATCGGTTTTTACTGTTAAATTATATACTTATAGTCGCGTTATCATTCAATTATATCCCATCAAAATGTCATTACAGAAGAAATGAATAATATGTATATGTACTATATATACATATACAATTTACTACTGTAAAATAATATTGATTATTGATTATGTATACCCGATTTTGAAAATGATGATGATGACGATATGTAACTGTGTGTTCATACAAAATAATTACGTCTCGTTTTCGTTCTGTTTGACATGTGTGTTATTAATGTAGTCTTCATCGCTTTATAAGAAAATTAAATAATTATTTTACAATAACAGAAAATCGTGACCAATTTAAAGGAATAAAAAAAAAATATATTAAATTTTTTTTCCTTTTGTTTTGTTTTCTTTATTTTTATTTTAATTTTCGAGTTTTTAACGTTAATATTTATGTTTTGGTTTTTATAATATTGTTTTTAGTACATTTTCGTAAGATAAAATAATTGATAATATTTTACTTTAGTATTTTACAATTGATAGCATTTATATTTATTATTATTAATTAAAAATTGATTTAGTCTGCCCATTTGCCATCCAGTTAAGAACATAATTTCTTTGGAAAAAAGTTATACAGCGATAACAGACCGATAATGATTACAAATTGCACTTACATTAAATTATAGATTTTACACAATTGTACTGCAAGGTAAATAATTCTGGCATGTAATTAAACTAACTCAATTAAAATTG